GCCGGAACCTTTCATGAATGGCCTCTGCCTCGAGCATTTTGACACTGGTACAAGTATCCACTGTGGATTCCCAGCTAGAATGAGGTCTCCTTCCCAATTGCGAAGCACCCAACCCAAACCACCTCTTTATAGGGATTCCGACCAAAAGGCATCTGCATTGAGAATCCAGGTATGGACCTGAGGAGGTACCCACTTCGATTTCTCCTTTACATCCCTAATCGACAAACTGGTAGTAGGAACTTTAGGGATTTTGTTGCACTGCTTTGAAATGATTTTTGTAGCCTAATGAATCAGATTTAAGTAGATAGGATGTTCCCGTTGAAAAACGACATGATTTCCATGGTGCCAAATAACCCACGACCCGATCTTAAACACTCCAAACTCCTCCTCTGTTGCTCGATCAAGGATCCAATCCTAAGATTTCCCAAGTTCATTTACGGGGTTTGGCTGTTTTGTCATGGTTTATTAAGTCTGAATTTGTTAAGTTTAGGATTGTTAAATCTGTGTTTGGTTGATGCAGGAAGTAGGTTTATTAAGTCTAGATTCGTTTGGTGTTAAGTTTTGTTAAGTTTGTATTTTGTTAAATCGACTTTATTGAACTTGTATTCGTTTGGTTGGGTTTTGATTTTCTTTTTAAAAAATATAATTTATAAACTAATTATTTTACTAAAGTCAATTTTCTTATGAAATTAGGAAACAATGTTGTGAGGATATATGAAATATTTTAAATACATTTGTCCATTCAATTTTTTTTCAATGATTAATTTTTAAAATAAATATTCAATTATCTACGAAAATACTTTTCAAGTATTTATCAAAGTCTAAACAAGAGTATAAAAATTCATTAAAAATATAAATTTCATCGTAGAGAAAATGTTATCAACAATTTATTTAATTTTTCACTATTTACAATCTTAAGTAAATTTGATTTCTTAATTATTCTAGAAAAATTGATTACTTAATTATCATCAACATTACTATTAAATTTCACTTATTTTTATTTGACAATTACATTTTATTACAAAGTGAAAATCTTTTAAACTATTAACTTCATAAGTTAAAAGAAAATATAAAATTAAAATAAATAATTACACAAAATGATAACGTCTTTTACAAATATGATAGTGATAACAAAAAGTAAATAAAAATGGTAGGAACAAAATGAACAACTATATAAAATGAAAAAAAAGAACAAAATAGCTAGAACAAAAAAAAAAAGATTTTTCTTGGATTATTTGGAAAAAAACTAGAGAAAAAATTGTCGATATATGAATTAATTATTTATTAGATGTAATTTGAATTCAATTGATTTACTTATTTATAATTAAAATTATTATTAATTAATTTCTTCATTTATTTAATATATTTAATTAAAAAAAATTAATAAAGAGAGAATAAAGACAAAATATGCGATGTAACAACCTAGGGAGTGAAATAGTATTTACTGTAACAAACTCAGGTTTAAAACTGTGAAGCAAACGTGGGTTTGTTATTCCCCGTTTTGAAAATGGGGAGGGGGTGTTTGGTTCTGGGATTTTCTTGGCAGGAATGGACATGGATAAGTAAAGCTATTGTTTGTTACACAGATTTGAAAACTTTTCATGGGAATAGTTATTCTCAGACATCCCTTATTCCCATGGACAAGGACTTTCTTTGCCCTTCCAGTTTCATGGATTTGTCTATGGGTTTTGTGGTAGACTCTTATCTCAATAAATTATGAAATTACTATATAGATGATTTATTTAGAAATCATAATTATGTAAAACAATGGAAAAGTATAGAATTTACACTTTTGTTATGAAAGAATCCCTAATTAAATGGTACCCATCACACAAATTACTACTATATACTTAGGAATCTCAATATTAAATAATTATTAAAAGCTAGAATTGGTAACTTGGGAGGTCAAATCCCTTAAAATGTGTTAATGATAGTTTCCAAAATAAAAAAAATCCTAAAACCCCAAAAAAACATCCATTTTTGAAACACACCCCTTTCGTCTTCCTCGTTTTTCTTTTCTTCCTCTGACCCTCCATTCCTCTTCTCCAACCGTCCGTCACTGTCTGGCTTCCTCTCCGGCCGACTCCGCTTTTATCCCCTTCTCAGGAGATCTCCATCGGTTCTTCTTCTCCAGTCGTTTCTACCTGTCTTCGTCTCTGATCGACGTCTGTCTGCCTTCATCTCCGACCGCCTCCATTTTTTCTCAGTCGCTAGAGCAATTCATCTCTAGATTGAAAGGTTTGCATTCTAACGAATGTTTTCAATTTAGTTTATATTCAGATATATCTGAGGGTTGTAGTTGGAGAGTGAGTTGCTAATAATGATTTTAGGAAGTTTATATGGAATTTAGTTTATATCCGGATATATGTGAGGGTTGTAGTTGGAGAGTGACTTGCTAACAGTGATTTTAGAAAGTTTAAATGGAATTTAGTTTATATCCACATATATCCAGGGTGGTTGTTGGAGAGTGAGTTGCTAAGAGTGATTTTAGGAAGTTTATATGCAGATATATCTGAGGGTTTCCTATAGCAGAATTAAGGACACAAAACTCACCGGTGAGAAGATGTTGGGTCATTAAGATTTGGATATTTTTGTAATTAATAATATTGGTAAATCAAGAAAATCAATATTTTTTAATGAGTAAATTGTGGTTTTGAAGGGGTGAATTAAGGAATTTGTGTTAGTATGGGACCCACAATAATTAAAAGATTATGATAATAATTTATGAAATTAAATCTTTTATATTTCAAAAAAAAAAAACAAATAACTATAATAAATGTAAATGCATTAAATAATGGTAAACTCGGAATTAAAATAAAATTCTACCTGCAGAAACCTAAAAGTGTAAAATTAGAAAATTTTAGACATTTGTGTAAATAAATTTCTAAAATAGTCTTCCGAAGACATTATCTCATAAATTATTTACTTTATTTTATTTGAAATAATGAGTTAAACTATTCAAATTAAATTTATAATTAATAAAACAACATTAAAATTTTACCAATAATATACTAAATTAATTATTCTATTGTAATAAATTAATTTATTAAATTGTATACTTAATTTTTTAAAATAAAAAATGTAATTATTAATAAGATGAAAATGATTAATTTTGTTAAGTGCATAAAATGATAATTATTAAGATTGATTATTATTAAGATTGATTGCTAAATAAAATCAACAACATATACTATATTTATAAACGAGTGAAATTTAAATTAAAACATAATTGCTTAAATTAATTTTAATCCCAGACATATATACAACAAAACACAATTATCTTTACTTTCCGGACATCGTCTACTTTTTTGAAACCTTGAACCAAACCGTCCCGTAGGGTTTTCTCTCAACTCTCTTTCTCCTGCTTTTTCTCAACTCATTTAGGATTTCAGGTAATTTGGCTTGAAATTCATTTGCCCCAAATTTTGCTTCCACTCTCCCCTCCTCTATACAACATTATAAGAAATTGAGAGTCGCAAATTGGAATCGAATTCTTTGCAGAATGCATTTGAAGGAAACTTAAATGGGAAATTGGGTAATTGGAAAATTGGGATATTAATTAGTACACGTGGATTAACCACTTCCATTAAATCTAACATAATTGACTAAATTGTTATCAATTTTAAAGTATAGGACTAAATCTTTATTTTCAAAAGTTTAGTAGGGACAAAATCGACATTGTTTAAAATAAATTTAACATTTTGTGATTGAAGAAATTAAAATGTTGTCCAAAAATGAGATTATATATTAAGTCAGTCTTGTTTACAAATTATTTGATTGTTGTCCAAGTAATGGAATATTGGACCTGCTAAGAAAGGGTAAAATTTTCTAAGACTAAGGGTAAAATTTTCTAAAAAAGGGTAAAATTTTGTGTAGTAACATATATATTTATATAATTGCCGAGACTCGAGGTGAGGGAGAGACAATTTCCGTCTTCATTCCTTCTTCGTTCTGCCCTTGCTACCTCGTTGCAAGAAAAGCTAGAAACATAAAAAGCGACATAATAACAATAAATTATTTCAATTTTTGTTTATTAATCATAGTAAATCTTTAAATTAATCCATTTGAATCACTCAACACGAGCAACACTACTTCTAAGAGTTCATGGGTTTAGGTTCAAAGTTTTCCGTCCCCATAGTTTATATATATATTTGGATAAAATACACTTTTAATCTCTGAGTTTTGAGCTAGGTGTCAATTTGGTCCCCGAAGTTTAAAAAACCACGGAAAAATGATGTGGCATTTGAGATGTCAATTTTTAGATGAGGTGGCAATTTTTATTAATTTTATATTAATTTAGGTTTAGTTGGCTTTATCATTAATATTTTTAATTTCTTTTTTTCCCTCCCTTTTTTCTCTTGCTTGCGGCACCTCCATGTAACGTTCCAAATCCAAATCCAACTGAAATTCTCATCCCAGATTCCAAATCCCACCTCTCCACCAACTGGGTTCATCAATTTCATCTACTTCAAAACCCTCAAATACAGATTCTCAAAATAATCTCTCATCCGTCAAGAAAACAAGCGTGAACAATGGCAACGACAACCAATTGAATGGGGAAGCAAATGAAGAAGACGATGACGATGATGCCACGGCCAATGGACTTATGCAGATGATAGGTCCAGGGAAGTCTTGCAAGAGAACGAATCTGGCCGAGAAAAAGGGGGAGAAGAAGTTGGAGGAGGGGAGGGAGGAGAGGGAAGAGAAAAATAAATAATTAAAATAGCCAACTAAACCTAAATTAATATAAAATTAATAAAACTTACCACCTCATCTAAAAATTTACACCTCAAATGCCACGTCATTTTAACATGAGTCAAACTAACCGTAAAATTGACTCAATGACCATTTATAACCGTTTGTCAAACCTCATGGACTAAAGTGTCTCGAATTCTAGGGACAACATTAACACCGAACTCAAAACTCAAGGATTAAAAATGCATTTTACCCTATAATTTTTTAGAACCAACTTGAATATAACTCAACTGGAGTAGCTATCGTAGCTATCGCAAGAGTATTTCTATTTTTATCTGAAAGAGGAAAAAAAAACAAGATCAATAACGTGATCTCCCCATTGAAATAGATATTATTATTAGATTGAGGCAAACCATCCGGCATAGAGAGGCAGAGAGTTGATGAAAGGGGAAGTAAAAGTAAATATATATTTTTACAGCAACTCCATTTTGAGAGCAAAGCCTGACGATCTCATCAACCATCTCTCTTTTCTTGCTTCATCATCTCTATGAATTCTCCAAAAACTGTAACCAAACAACAATTTCGTTTTTGTCAGTCACAAAGCATTCAAAATTCAATTCCATCCATCCACACAACTGCAAATTCCGTCATGCCTTAACAATGAAACATGTGACATGTGTACCGAATATGTCGAAACCGACTGTGAAGCTATAACGAAAAAGCTTTGGTTCATGAATTTCTACTCATTTCTATTTGTATTTTAGCCCCTCACCCTCTTGTTACTCGTTTCCATTATGGTCCTTTGTTTGTCCCTAGCTGTGATTGAACTCCACATTTAATCTCTAGTATACATAGTGCTACTGCTACATCATATGTTCTAAAATTCAGAATAATTTTTTACAGCACGAACCATACATGAAGTTTGCAGTTTGCTGACAGCGGAAACTGGGAGGAATAAAATTTGGAATCTAAATTCTAATTAGGGGTAGAAGTAGAAAACTGATAAACCGACTTTACTGACCAGACCAAAACCGGTTGATCGGTCCTAGCCAACCCATGGTTGAAGGTCGGTTTTGCATGACGGTCAGATGGAGGTCTAACCCCTCCATTCCGACCAACTTTCACCCCTAAATCTAATAGTTAGGATGCCAAAATAGAATGTGAATAAAAATTCAATAATTTTTTGAAACAGCTCAAAGACTAAAATAGAATTAGACAAGTATGCAGGGACCAAAACCATAATAATTGAAGTTTTAAAATAAAATGTTTGTTACCAGAGTCAGAATCATGAGGTCCAGGGGATGCTTCAGGGTGGTATTGAAGAGACATAATCTTTAGCTTTGGATAAGCAAGACCAGCACAGCTTCCATCATTAAGATTGATGTGGGTTACTTCAACACCCTCTGGAAGGGATGCCGGGTCGACAGCGTAGTTGTGGTTCTGCCACATGAAATACATAAGCTAACACGAGCACAACACAATGAACTCTTGCTAATAAACATAAGAACATGGATGGTAGATTTTAAGTGATAGGCTCCAATATGATCACACCTGAGCGCTAATTTCTACACGGTCATTTCGGAAATTGCGAACGGGATGATTTCCTCCATGATGACCAAATTTCATTTTGAAGGTCTTCCCACCCAAGGCCTGGCCAAGCAATTGGTGGCCCATGCAAATTCCAAAAACAGGTACTTTTCCAAGTAGTTGCTTGACTGTTTCGACAGCGTAAGGAACTGCAGATGGATCACCAGGGCCATTGCTGAATAGAACCCCATCCGGATTCAACTTTAACGTCTCTGATGCCGCCCATGTGGAAGGGACAACAGTGATTTTGCATCCATAAGATGCCAAGCGCCTAAGTATATTACTCTTGATTCCAAAATCATATGCCACAACCTTATTTTAACACAAAATATCAATATAAAGGTGCATTGCCAAAGTACAAAATACGAAGAATTCATCGTAACAATTGTAATATCATCTTATAGTTCTTGCACACTCACATGGAAGGTCTCTGAACTGTGCCCACCAGATTTAAACTCCCATTCCAAATATGTTCTATCCACCCACTCATAAGGAGATTTGCACGAAACACCGCTAATTAAGTCAACACCTGCCAAATGGGAGCACGAACATTATATATCTTCAAGCATTTTATGAATATTACAACTTGCATTTTTGTACTTGCACTTCCCAATTCTTACCAACAATGTCCCATGATCGAGACATTTCTAATAGCTCGTCGTCAGTTTTCAATTTTTCAGTGCTTAAAACACCAATAAGACTTCCATCTTCCCTCAAACGGCGAGTAATAGCACGTGTGTCAACATCATCTGCTCCATGATGAAACAAACCCATACTTTTACTGATTATAGAAAAAGGCAGCATTCAATAGTTTAAACGATTCTACATATTGTCATCAGGAAAATCATAATATAAAATATGACTTACAAATTCCCATGATATTTCTCTCTATTAAATAATCACCAAGTGTCTGTTTGCACCTCCAGTTTGAAGTGCTGGAAGAAAATTAAGTGAAAAACCTGAGCCCATTAGTCATGACTACAAAAATCAATTAGCCAAATAATTCAGTTCTCAGGAAAATAAAAATGTGGAAGAAGTTTCTCGTTTTATGGGAATTCTCTTTCATATTTTCTTCTTTTTTTGTTTTTTTTACAGTGTAAAGGAACGAAATGCACCTGATGCTTAGGCTTCTGATCACCAAGCCAGCAAGGAAGCATTGTCGAGCTTCTTCATCATCTAATCGAAAAATGTACTCAAAGTGAATATTTGCGAGACGAGACGAGGCAAGGCAAGGAAAGTATTTTGAAGGCATGACCTACCGAAATTGACACCAGTATTGCCAATATGGGGGTTTGTCATCAGAACAAATTGACCAGCATAGCTGGGATCAGTTAGAATTTCTTGATACCTGCAGATTCAATGTGTAAGGAAGTATTGGTAAACCTTCAATAATTGTTAACTATCCTTTTATCTTTTTTTTTTTAAATTACCCAGAATCAATAGCTCTTAAGCTTTTTTACCCCATTTACCCCAATAACCAGGGGTGCCCGCACCCACTCCAAGGCCTGGACTAAGGAGACATCAAGGATTTTTGGTATTAAGCTCACCTAAAGGTTTGAACACCAGACCTATGATAAGTGATACCACAAGACTTCATGCCGTTGCTAATGGAGCTGCCCCATGGGGTGAAAAGTGTTTTATCACATAACTAAGCTCGTAGGAAACATACCAAAAATTAGCAAAGATAAAAACAGAGGAACTGGAGAGACTGGCATCATTCCATTCTAACATAACTCCTTGTTTTGTTAACAGGTAATTACAATCATAAAATTGTCAATAGTCAACCTTTTTGCATTGAAGATTGCAATTTCCACTTCAAAGCAACACTAATACCTTCTTCTACCCAAGCATCTATTTCAATATGACGACATTTGAGCGGTAACACTAGCGAGTGCCATGACCTCCTTCAATAATTATCAAAGAGATCTCAACATTCAAATTCGATTGTAACAATTTAACTAATATAAGCCCGGGCTAATATAAGTGGATATGAAGTATCACTAGTTTAAATTATGGTCCTAAAAATAGTTGGTCAATCATCGTGGGGAATACAGTGGAGGAAGAGGATGGTAGTTGAGGATGAAGTTAAGCTCTCCTAAGGGTACCGATAGGAATCCCTATCAAGAACAACCTTAAAAAAACAAAAAGCAAATCAACCGGTGGATGACCAATTCGAGAGGGTCGTCTAACTCTCCACACTTCTTTAAGAAACCACACAAAATACACAAGGTACTCCACTCTGTACCCAAATCAACATAATAAAGAGACACCAACAAGAGCCAGAAAACTACCTAAGGAAGTTGTAACTTCTCTAACACAATATTGACAAAGAAACCAAATAAACAGTTAATTCCCGTTTTGCCCTTCCTTATGTAAACCTTTTGAATTGGAGGTCTAAGAAATACATACCCAGTTAAAGAAGTATTGAAAACTACTTCACCAACTTGGGTTCCGGAAGCGCCAAAAGACTTGGCCTTCCAGACTGAACCATCTTCAAGCACCAATCGAGCATCCGATACCTTCCATGGCCTCTCACCCAAATCTTAAAACAATACAACAAAAGCATAATCATCGAAACAATAATTGAAAAGAAAGAGAAAAAAAAAACGATGCAAAAGAAGGGAATTCCTGCTAGTACCAATCGTGGCGGAGCCATGGGTAGAGAGAGGGACGGAGCATGTGATAGTGAAATCCCTAGATTTTACATGCCCTCTAGGGGTTTTGAAATGAAAACAGCTGAGAGAGGCTCCGAACGCCATGTCCATAGCTTTGATAGCCATTGACGAAGTGGATACAGTTCAGTTGAGGCACTAGCAGAAATGGAGGAGCTGCAGAAAGCGGAGAATTCAATGAAACTTCCAAATCAAAAGCAAACCAACAACTACTTGGAAAACAACGTATCGCAAGAAAACATCCACATCCACATCACAACGCACTCAAAATTGAAAAAATAAGATGTCGTTTTCTTAGAAAGAAAAAGAAAAGAAAAATGTCATCCAGTTTTGGTAACTTTAATTGGGTTTTGTCATCTTTATGGAGTAAAGTAATGGTTCTTGATAGTTGCCAAAGGCCGCGTCCCTCACCCTCACCAAATGGGTCTTTTATATTAAAATTCCAACGAACACGAAGACTAAAACAACAATCCAAATACCCACAAAATAAAAGCAAATTCAGAACCTCATATACTAAAAACAACAATTCAAATACCCAGAAAATGAACTGAGAACCGCTTCTCATAAACTATATTTACCCACCTTACTGCTCGCTGGAGGAGCTCGTGTCGAGGCGTCGCCGGCTGTCGGGGTGCCGCCGCCGTGGGTGTGCTGCCGGCGCGAGGTCTGAGCCGCCGCTCGTCGGCAGAGATGGGGGAGAGAGAGAGGGGTAGGGCGGCTGAGTTTGAGAGAGAAAATATAAGGGAAAGGGTTTAAGGGTTTCAAGAGAGGTAATGGGTCAAGGATGAGAGGGAATGAATGGTAAGAAAAATGATTAAAACAAAGAAGATCTCTTCCCACCTAAAATACAAAAATGGACTAAAACAAATCTACATTAATTGAATTCAACTTTTAATTTTTTAGTTTTTATTGTGTTTTTATTCACTCAAGAAATAAAATTAAATTAAGTCGGACCAAATAGGAGTGTTTAGGGATCGGTCGGGTCGATTTTTAGGTCGAAATCCCGACCGATATGTTGTCGGTTTCCAAAAATGGAAACCGATCGACCGCTTAAATAATATAAAACTGACCGACCTGGTCGGTTTGATCGGTCAGTTTTCACCAAAACCGACTTTTTTCTATTATTAATATTAGTGTGTCAACTGTGTGTCTTATTTTTTTATATTTATAATTTTAATCCAAAAAATTCAAAATCATGATAGTTCAATTTCAAAATATTGTAATAAAAAATAAAATCTATTTCAATTTCTTATACAATGTAAAATCCATGCAAAATAGAAAAAATAGTAGTCCAAAAGGGCTAGGGTAAAGTGAGAGGAAGTGAGTTTAAACCCTATAATGGCTACCTACCTTAAGAATTAATCCCTATGTATTTTCCGGCACCAAATGTTATAGAGTCAGAGAGTTGTCCCGTGAGATTAGTTGAGGTGCTAAAGTGGAATTTTCTCCATGTTTTTATCGAAAGAAGTCTTAATAGAAAACAATGAGTCTTCGAGAACACTCCAAGACGGGGTCGTGATAACCGTTGGTGTAAAAATATATTGGGGCAACTTGAGATATGGCCAAAAAATTTAGCAAAATAACAACCATGTTTTGGTTTTTTAAATATAGGAAAATATTTCAAAAAAATGGAGGCCCAAGTGAGTAAATCTCAAAATTACCCTTAATTTAGCCAAAAAACACGAAGGTCCAATAGCCTAGACGTGTGGGTGTTGGGTTCAATTTCCGTCAAATTTTCACAGATATATATATCTGATATATACTTGATATACCTATAATTTACCACTGATATACCACTGATATAACTATGATATCTACTAATATAATTTATTATTTGTTTATATGATTTACTATTTATTGATTTACCATTGATATATATGTCTGATGCATACTTGATAAACTCATATACAACTGATATATCACTGATATACAACTGATATACCAATGACATACCACTAATATAACTAAATATCTACTAATATAACTTTTTATATGATTATATGGTTTACCATTTATTGATTTCCTACTAATACATATTTGATATACCTTTTATATACTACTGATGTACTACTGATATATAATTGATTTACTTATGATATGATTATATGATTTACCATTGATATATCGCTGATATATGTCTGATATATACTTGATATACCTTTGATTTACTACTGATATACCACTAATATAACTTTTTATATGATCATATGATGTATCATTTAATTGATTTACTATTGATATACCACTAATACATAACTCATGTATACTTGACATACGTTTGATGTACTATTGATATACAATTAATACACTTCTGATATAATTAGAATATCTACTGGTATAACTTATGATATGATTATATGATATACCATTGACTTAACCACTAATATACGTATGATATATCCTTCATATACCTCTGTTTTACCACTGATATTTCTCTAATATAACTATGATATCTATTGATATTGTTGATGCGTCGATTTCGGTCCTTCGATTCTCCTTCTCGCACCCACCAAACTTGTTTATTCGGGACTAGTACCTGCAAAACCAAATCAAGCTAAACTGGTGTGACTCTAGTCACACGGGCTCCGATGCTTAAGTTAGCAAGAGAGTAACGTAAATGTAGTCAACTTTTAGATGCCCCTACCTCTAAGGCTGGATCGCTACTTATAACCGTGAAGTTGTTCCAGAACTTTCCGTAGCTAACCCTAATTCCGTTGGAGGGCATGGGCGAATTGTCGATCGAAAATGGGGATCGCTGGAGGGCCGTGGGCCGAGCACGGCTCGGGATCGAGCCCCAGGTCAGGACCGAGCCCCTCACGGCCCAGTGGGCTTCCCTCCGATCATAACCTGTAGCTTCGACTACCGATTCCCTTTGTATAACAGTTGCCCCCTACTCCCAATGCGATGCTTTCGATCTCATCGGGAGTATAGCTTTTGTAGTGACCTATCTTGTCATGTAGGCCCGCGATCAAGGAGAATGCAAGATTTTCGGGGTTCGCA